TAAATTATTCGAGGAGAAAGTAAAAAAGAGAAGACACAGAGTTCCGTTTTTTTTTTTTTTTTATAATTATAAACCAAAATAACACTACGAGCGACCCATGCCTTGAATTCAAAATTAGTAAATTACTCAAAATAGATTCACAAAAAATCTACTTAAGAGGGTTATTAATTACAACTGGAATCTATTTAATTATGATGAATTGAAGATTTGAAAACAGATTGGAAATCTGAAAGGTTTATGATCTTTGTAAGTTTTCATTTTAAGGGAAAAAATGTTTTTAAGAAATATAATAATGGATAAATACACTAGAAATCATAACAAACAAACGACAATATTCGGATAAAATTCATTTGAGATTTGATTATTTGTCAAATCAAATCTAGTACCTAGAACCTTTGAAGCCATGTTAAAGAGATAAAATTTTAAATTCTAGCGATATTTGAATAACAGCTGTAATTACAAATTATAAATATTTTACCCAAAAAACAAATTACAGTTGTCAAAGGAAAACAAAATAAGATTTACAATTTATAAAAACAACATATTACCTGATTGACAATTATATTTGTTTGGGGGAAAATAAAACTATATATATATATTTTAATTATATTTATTTGTGATTAGTTTAGACGAGCACAAATCCTTTAGTATTACACTAGGTAATTATCTGCTTTATACGTGAATTTTCATACGTGGAGTAATTTTTGGAGATGTCTAAAACGTAGCTATCGCGAAAAAATAATTTGGAAGTACGTTTTAACAAAGCAAAAGATCTAGACAAAGATGTAAAAATCTTGCTAGAAGAGAAACCATTGCAAGCTACTAAAAACTCTTGTTCTAAAACTCGCCCAAGTACACGATTCGGCGGTCGAGTTTACCGACGGCCGTGACGAATTGGCCCAGATCGATGGAATTACGCAGCTCACCGAGTTTTGACAGCCGAGACCGTGGTTTAACAAAAATCGGCGGTTAATAAGCAAATCTCCCGAAAAATAATCAGACGAGTTGAGATTTTGCAGCTCTTGTTTTAGATTTTGAGTTCATCACAAAAGCCAAAATATAGAGGAACGTAGTCTAGAAGGCGATTATAGAACAAGAGAAATCACTTCGAAGAACTTTGAAGCCAAAGATGAAGATGATAATGGCGATTTCGGAGGAGAGAGAGAGCAAATTTTTTTTTTTTTTAATCTGATTGCATTTTTAGAATGATTCGTTTCAGCATGTGACCGAACCAGAAATTATTAAACCCACGATAACCATCACACTTTCATTATGCATGGGCCTAGGTTGGGTTTTATTCATTAAACATGGGCCAATGATTTAATTTTGATGTGTTTTGTATGAATCTTTGAAAAACTTAAAAATAAATAAGAATCTTAAGAAAATCTGTGGATATGAACTTTTAATTTTAATGTGTTTTTTTTATAAAAATGTTATAGT